GATCCCCTACACACACACTGCACCACCTACACACACAATATTCCTTGTAAGCAAACACATACAACATTCTCTAAACACACTCTCTCTACAACCCCTACACACACTATGTCACCTATACACACACACCCACTACAGCCCGTATGCACACACTCTCTACAACCCCTATACACACTATGTCACCTATATACACACACACTACAGCCCGTATGCACGCACTCGCAACATCCCCTATCATGGGCGTCCGCAGGAATTTTTCCAGGGGGGGGCATAATTGTAATGACATCCATGCTTGGTACCTTTTTGACAGTGTCATGAAAGGGAAGGGGCATAGCCATTATCACATAAAGCCAGGGTGAATAGCGTTTTCACAACTGGTGTCAGGAATATATGTTTGTATTACTGACACTATAGTGTTCCTTTAAGCAAATTAAAGGACATTTCTGGTCACCATAACAACTTCACCTAAATGAAAATGCTATGATGCCAGGAAGCCCCTGGGTGCTAGTTTTCCTTTAAGGGGTTAAATCGCTCTCAAATGGTTTAATCCCAAAGGCTTCCTCCAGCTCCAGGTCGCTCAGTGGTATTTGGCTTCTGAAACAGAGTGTCAGGAAGTGCAGATTGACGTCAGGCATGGGTGCCACTGATTGGCTAGAGTGGTCAGTTGACGCTCTAAGCCAATCGCTAGTTCCCGGTTCATAAAATGTTTTTACTTTTTTATGAATGGGGAGCTACTGATTGGCTTAGAGTGCCAGCTGACCGCTCTAGCCAATCAGCAACAATCCTACCCAACGGCACTCTGTGCTTCCTGACACTCAGTAAATAAAAGTGAACACATTAACACCAATATTTTTTTACCTTTGGAGATGAGAAGGTCCAGCGTTTCCCTGCCAGGCCCAGGTACCAAAGCCTTATGATGTGGTGTCCAGAATAAAGTGGAGGGTTCACTTCATTTGTCCTTCCTGCTCCAATCTCCTTTTCCTCTCCTTCATTTGACAGTCTTTTTTTTTCTTCTGACACTGTTTTCTATCCTTGGCCCCTTCTGCTCTTTTACCTTTCTGCTACTTTCTGCTTATTTTGCGCCCTTCTGCTCCTTTCTCATTCTGATCCCTTTCTGCTCCCTTTTCTACTTTACCTTTGTGCTCCTTGCTGTCCCTTTCTGCTCTTCCTCCTACTTTACCTTTGTGCTCCTTCTGATTCTTTCTGCTCCTTTACCTTTGTGCACCTTGCTGTCCCTTTGTGCTCCTTCCTGCTCCTTGCAGGCCCTTCCTGCTCATTCTCCTACTTTATGTTTGTGCTCCTTCTGCCCCTTCCAGCTCATTTCTGACCTTTTCTGCTCCTTCTACTTTACCTTTGTGCTGCTTTACCTTCCAGCTCCTTGCTGACCCTTCCTGTTCATTTCTATATATCTATAGGCTGCTGCCCCCCAAAATCTATAACCTGCTGCCCCCTCTCCAAATCTATGGGCTGCTGCCCCCCCCAAAAAAAATCTATGGGCTGCTGCCTCCAAATCTAAAGGCTGCTGCCCCCCCACCTATGGGCTGCTGCCCCCAAATCTATAGGCTGCTGCCCCTCCTCACCTATGGGCTGCTGCCCCTAAATTCCAAAGGCTGCTGCCCCCCAAATCTATAGGCTGCCGCCCCCTCCCCCAAATCTAGGCTGCTGCCTCTAAATTCCATGGGCTGCTGCCCCAAATCTATAGGCTGCTGCCCTCCCAAACCCATGGGCCTCCCCCAAATTCCAAAGGCTGCTGCCCCCCCCCAAATCTATAGACTGCTGCCCCCCTCCCCAAATCTATGGGCTGCTGCCCCCAAATTTATCTGCTGCTGCCCCCCTCCCAAATCTATAGGCTGCTGCCCCCCTCTCAAACCCTCCCCCCCATCCCCCACTTACCTGATCTGTAGGCTGTCTCTGGCTGCATGTGTTACTCCCCTGCGGTTTCAATCAGCAGAGAGAAGCAGGGATAAGATGCAGCTTCCTATCCCTGTCTCTCCATACACAGCGCCACCTACTGGCCGGCACCGGTATTGCAGTTCATTCTAAATCTCACACGAAAAATAGCAGAACAAGTTGAAAAATCCAGGGGGGGTAATGCACTGACAGTACTTAAAGCAAAATTATGATACCTTTTGTAGCTTGCCATGCATATTTACATGAACAGTTCAAACAGTTTCTGAATAAAAGCGTAGTGGGTCAATATTTCTCCGGTCTACCTGACAATCTTTAAACATAATGGAAATTAAGATTGGTATGCACTGGCCTTTTTAATGTATGTTACGGTGGTAGTGAGTACAACTACTCTGTCAATTAAATTTCAGTTACCAAGTTTAGCATTGTCTTTACATTATATGCACTTTCTATTATAAACCACTAGGTGGTAATCTAGGTTTTCAGACAACAAGGAACTCAAATAATAAAAAAACAGTCATTAACAGAAGACCAAATTGAGGTTTTCATATTTTCGCATTTCTCTACAAGAACAGTGAATGTTGTACTGTTTTCTTGAAAAACTGCAGATATATCAATAGATAAATAGCAGACTTGTGCATTTGGTTCATTCCAAACCACAATTTATCTGAATTTCTGGTGATCAACGGGTCTTTTGAATGATGTAAATCTGGATTGCCATATGACCGCATTATTACAAAAGCAAACTGGAAATTGTACAAGTTGGTTTAGTTGATTCATGATTCATAGTTACTGCCATGGCACCAAAAATAAATGTACAATATATAAATAAAAGTTTTAATATAAATATAATATACAAATATATAATAAGGAAATGCATAGGTAGTATATACAAATTTATTTTGTACTGCTTTTTTCCCCTCCCTGATGGTTACTTCTCAACTGATCAGTGAGCCAAATGATGGGAAAATGCCAGCGTGCTGCAAAATAAATACATAATATTAATATGATGTATATGTGTCAAAGTGAATAGATTGGCCCATTTATATGCCCTTTTGGTTTAACTGAACCATTTTTCTAAAATCTTTTGCATAATTCAGGTAAGCTGAACTGGGCAAATAGACAATAATCAGGTGACTGAACACAATTTTTTTTTTGAATGAAGTGATTCAGACTGAAACCCGCATTAGATGGGGGTCCAAAAAAATGATTTCTCCAGGATCCTTTCTACATTAGTTCCACTACTGGTATCCAATCTATATGCTAGTGGACTGGGTGGCATTTGCACCACATCCCTTATTGACAGTTTTTCCATGGCAAGGAATGGATTCTTAATATTCCACATGACTACCATACATTTAAAGTGGAGAAACCTTGAAGTAAAAGGGGTTGATTTCTTGTTGTCTCCTCCCACTAGTCTCACAGTTCATCACATCCACTCTTTCATTTCACAAGAGAACATTACGAATCTGCTTTCTTATGTGAACAGTCTTAAAAGTGAGAAAAATGATGCAAAACTATTACCTCATCCTATTAATGCTTAGTATTTATTCAGGTAAGGTGAGAAACATAGACACATGTGACTGCAGATAAGAGCCATTCTGTCCATCCTGTCTGCCCAATTTTCTTAATACTTGCATTATTCTCATAATAGGAGTTTATGATCATAATAGGAGTTTATGATTGTTTCTATAATTTGATATTGATGACACATTGTGCAAGTAAAACATTTACTCCATGTTTACTGCACATTTTATTATGTCTTTTTGTCTTTCCTTGTTTCTCACTTGCTGTCATCTCACTTTTCTTTTCCACTTTCTTCTATAATTCAGGTGATCTTACAATTTGTTCTTTAAATATTTCTATTTTTGCTCACAGGAAATGTTATTGGGGATTCCATCCAGCCAAAATATTCTCAGTTGTCTGTGGAGGAAGGAATAACGGTTACTCTCACTTGCTCATACATGACTAGCAATACTTATTCTTATTATCTGTATTGGTACCGTCATTATCCTAATAAAGCTCTTGATTACATCCTTCGTAAAACTAACAAAGGTTCAGAATCTACTAGCATGGCCCCTTTTGCTATGGAGCGATTTACAATTCAGGTGGATTCACTCACTACAAATCTGACTATCACTGACGTGAAGATAGAGGATGCAGCTATGTATTACTGTGGACTGCAGGAGCACAATGTGACAGAGCCGAGCACAGCAGCTACATAAACCACAGCTGCTGTACAGACTTCAAAAGAGGAACTGTATTACGTGTATAACAAATAGGAACATGAATCATATTCCTTTCAATTTACACTCAAAACAAATCAAGTAATCCAGAAAATAAAGTTCCTCAACCCACTATATCCTAAACCAACACCTACCATCTTGAACCCATGAACTCCACTCATGACCACAGGAGATGGTATGCTTTGTTCCTAGAAACACAAATGTGGAAAAAGGAAAAATACTTTAAACATACAATTATGTGTTACGGTACCTCCAGTAATAAATGCACAAACCGCCATTTAGTGAATGCTCCCCGTTCGCAATAATGTGGTCTGGTAGCGTATGCTGTATAACCAAGCGAACAGCCAGCTAGGGAACACTCCATCCTCCCGAACGGTACCTGTACGGCTCCTTCCCTTCACGAGCTCCAACTGCACGAATCGCCACTAGCAGCCGAACGGCAATAGTTTCCAAGCGGCAAATAATCCCAATAAGCAGTCTCTAGTCGCCGGTAATAAAATCCCCCCAATAACGAGACCAAGCTCTGCTTTGAGGGTAACACACGAACTGAGTTTACTGTGGGCTACTTGTCCGTATTTATGCAGGTCTCCCACTTGGTGGACACTCCCCTAGGGGACCAAATGGGAGACTGGAATTACAGAAGGACATGGGGACATTTCAGACATACATCCCCACAATATTCCCAGCATGCATCACAGTTTCCTCCCCTCTGCTCGGGA